AACGACAACATTTGTGTACTTTTAACCTTACAATCCCTGCAAAACATCCAACCCCTAAACTGCCATAGGGAGAGCGAGCGTGCTCTCAGTGGGACCCTTTTTTTTTTTTTTTTTTTTAACGCAGGGGGGCCAGCCATGCTGTATCGTTCCCAATTTAACAGATGTCCCGAAGGACTCGCTGGGAGCTTTTCGAGGATGCATCTGATCGCAATTTCAGCATGCACGGGATGTATACGACCACAATTACGTCCAGAGATCAGTTCAAAGTGGCCCTTCATGCTGAGCTCAACGTCTTCCATAGACGCCCTTAGGGCCCTTCATGCTGAACTCATGCTGGGCTCAACAGAGGCGTGAAGTCCATTCGAGTTTTCTCCCTCTCCTTTTCCTCTCCCCTTGACCTCTATCTCCATGACGACTGCGAGCATGCCCTAAGAGGCCCCATGAACCTGGAAACGTCCAATGGACACCACGCCTCTGTTCAGCTCAGCATGAGCTCAGCACGAAGGGCATGCTCACACCGAAGCGTTAAGGGGCCCTAAGCGCCCCTCCCTTAACGCTTTCCATAAAAGTATATTCAAGGAGATGGAGAATCAGGTTCCTCCCTCTCCCTCTCCCTCTCCCTCTCATCTCCCCTTGAGCTCTATCTCTGTGACAACTGTATTTCTAGGGCTCGAAGGTGCAGCTAGAATAGTGGCCAAAAGTGTACCTAGACTTCTTTGGCCATGCTATCCATCCCCACAGTTCTGTAGCGTGAGTTTTTTGCCTACATCCAATTATAGTGACCAATTTCGTTGGAGAAAGGGGTCAATTTCAGACACAACAGGATATAGAATGCCCCAGCTAAACCCCCCAACTAAGCCCCCCAACAAAACCACTGCATCGACCCCCACAATGTCATGTTCCAGTTGATCGGCAATTGAGACACAACAGGATAGACTGCCAACTATCCTGTTGTGTCTGAAATTTCTGTTGATCGGCAATTGAGACACAACAGGATAGACACAACAGGATTTCTGAGTTTCTTTTTGCCAAAAAAACAACATACCAGGATGACCACCACTGGAAAAAACTAACCAGGAAGGAGTAGAATAAATGCTTTCAAGAAATTTCAATTAGTGGGGTCTCATCATCTCATGAGAGGTAAGACCCAAACGATGTCAAAATACAAAAAAAAAAACAGAAAAAACGGAAGGGAAGAGAAAAATCCTACCGAACAAAGTATTAATGAGTTTGAATTACCTTCCACCGGTCACCTGTCGAGATATCTTCAGATAACCACCATTTAAGAAAAAATATTTAAAAAAAAAAGAGAATATAACAAGAATAAAAATAAGAATAAGAATAAGAATAATAAGAACAAGAATAATAATAAGGAGAAGAAGACGAGATATTATTAAAAAAAAAAAGAAAAAAAAGAGGGAGATTCACACTTACCAGGAATGGTTGGAGGTGATCCATGCTCTCCATAGCCTAGACTGGCAGGAATCTTCAACTTCCGCTTCTCCCCAAGACACATACCAGCAATCCCTCGGTCCCAGCCTTCACGATATCCAAAAACAACGCAAGATATAAAGAGACGTCAAAAGAGACCAGTATATTTCATGTCTGACTCACAAATTTGTCTGGGTGGGGTACTTGTAGTTCAAGCCACCAGTAGATGGCCCCAGGCAGCTGGAGAACCTGTTTTGAGCCTCTCCGAAAATTTAGCGGGCCGAGCGCCATACACATAAAATGAATCGGCGACGGGCGGCCCGCCGCCGATAGCTGGCATGTACTGGTGATTTAACAGTGATAACAATCTCCATACAAGTCAAAGGGACTGATGGTTGATCGGCCTCACATGGAAGTCGAAGTGTGCTTTACTCTCGAGTGGCACACACAATAAGCACTTCCACTCAGCCTTTGAACAACTGAGGGCATGTACTCACACTAGGGACTTCTCTAGATGCATCCGACTGTGATCACATGCAGAGATGAATGAATCTGACCACAATCTCGTCCAGAGCTTAGAAGAAAAGGTCGTCGTGTGAGTACACCCTGAGAACACGAATTAACAAATAAGGCTCGATAGGGTAGAGTAGGCAGGGGGGGGGGGAAAATACACCCGAGCAAAGTGTGGCAAGAACATCTGGACTTCACTACGCTGGAATATCACCTGCCCAAGAATGTGTAAGAATGCACGTAAGAATAGGTCTCGCTCCACGTATCTGGAGTCTGGACTTCTTGCTAGTCCCGGAACATTCAAAATGTTGAAGCAGTCCAAATGCATCCAGTCCACTTTCTGTCCAGATTCGTGCATGTTGTGTAGTGAAGCGAGGTCCAATGTGTAAGAATGAGCAAGAATGTCGTAGGAACCTCGCTCCACTACACACATTCTACACGTATCTGGACTGCTTGCTGGTCCCAGAACATTCAAAACGTTGAAGCAGTCCAAATGCATCTGGTCCCCTCTCCGTCCAGAGACATGTAGAACGTTGTATAGTGAGGCGAGGTCCAATGTGTAAGAATGAGCAAGAATGTTGTAGGAATGCGTAAAAACATGCCTCACTCCGCTACACAACATTCTAAACGTAAGTCGACTGCTTGCCTGTGCCAGAAAACTCAAAATGTTGAAGCAGTCCAAATACCTCTGGTCCACTTTCTGTCCAGATACGTGTAGAATGTTGTGTAAGAAAGCGAGGTCCAATGTGTAAGGATGGATAAGAATGCAAATTGACAGTAAGGTTACGCAGATAGAGAAGGCAGGAAATTGAGAACAGTTGAAAAACTATGGTGGGTGTTTTTTTCACTACCGTGTTTCACTGTTTTCACATCACTCACCCTTGATGACTTGACCCTTTCCAAGTGTGAAAGAGATAGGATCCCCTCTAGTCAAGCTGGAGTCGAACACTGTTCCATCCACAAGCTTTCCCTGCACATTCACAGCCAGCATGTTTCAGAAATGCCAGAGGTACCAAACGCTAATGCTTTGACTCAGTCAAAAAGTCCACACACCTAAGAACAGTTCTCCCCTGCCAATTTGATGGTTCCTGCAGGTCATTATTACCAATGTGAAGTCCCATAAGGTGGGCATCACTCTGAAGGCCAGGCATTGCTTAACAGCAAGGGTCCCTTGTTTCTAGGGTGAACGCCGGCCACATATCACACAACGGCCGTCAGAGGGAGGGTTAGAACATGTGTGTGTGTGTGTGTGTGTGTGTGTGTGTGTGTGTGTG